GGCACATAACAACAACAACAACAACATATCCAAATGACTAAAAGAATATTCAGTGTGCACACACATACACTCACTCACCAACTCAAAGATAAAACACACAATTGATACTTCTTATTGGCAAGGAGGGGGAGGGATTTGGGAAATCCCCTTTCAGTATTTAATTTTCCATGTCTTTCAGGAAAAGCCTTATAGTGGAAGCTATAAGGTAAGAGTTCGTCTTTATGTGAATAATTTGTAAGCATGTTCACGCATACTTTTATAAGTGAATTCATTTTAGCCAAGTGCCCCCATCATTCAAATGGTAGGAGTATAACAGCAGGGGGAACCATTTTACTCCTGATAAATTATATAGTTCACTGATCGTAAAAGATGATTAGTTAAATGCTGTTTACTGGTCTTCTTAGGAAAGAAAAACTATCTTTAAAACCTTTAACTGAATAATCAACAATCTTCTAGCCAGCCAACCACCACCATGCAGAACAAACACCTCATCATCTTTACAGGCTACCCTGAGCTGCAAGCCACCTTCCACAGACATGCAGAGTTACAACAAAGACAGTAAAAGAAATGGGGCCCCACCCTTTGGGGGCTCCTTGAGCCTTCATACCTGTTCTGGTGCTCTTGCAAGACTTGGTAAATGCTGATAAGAAATGTTTGGTTTTTAAAACTCCCCATAACACAGTCCTTGTAGATTCGAAATTCTGCAGCCGTCACCGCTTCACCCTCAGGAATCTGGGACAAGTTGAACTTGAACTCTTTGTGGTGTCGCTGACGAGGGGAGAACTCCTTGTCGTGTTCCACTATAGGATTAAACAAGAAAGAGTGACAACTATTGTTACTTGACTAAGTGCCACAGGCTCACCTCATGCATGTTCCCCATGTTACTTAAGTGGATTGATTATTAGTCACTAGTGGCTAATAGGTGGACCAAGGGTGGTGAAAAGGACACTGTTATGCTAACAGGCAAGTTCAGATGAAGTTATTTTATTTTATCCAAGGTTTAAAGAAAATCTTTAGACTTGCAATACTTTAAACAATTTATTAAAAAAAATAATCTGCTGTTAGGGACCTCTCCAAAGAACTGGAGAGCAATGGTGTCTCTCTGGAGACTAAGGTGTTTTTGATACAGGCCATTGTCTTTGCTATCACATGTTACACATCAGAGAGTTGGACGGTGACTAAGGAGGATAGAAGGAGGATTGATGTCTTTGAGCTGTGGTGCTGGAGAAGAGTATTGAGGGTACCATAGACTGCTAGGAAAACAAACAGATTCATCCTGGAGAGGGTTAAACTGGGTTGCTTTTTGGAGGCAAGGATTCTGAGGCTCCGTCTAACATACTTTGGACATGTTGTAAGGAGGGACCGGCCCTTGGAGAGGGACATCATGCTTGGGAGGGTGGAGGGACAGCACAGGAGGGGAAGGCCCTCTATGAGGTGGATTGATTCAGTGACTGGGGTAATCGGGATGGGTGTATCGGAGATGGAGCGATTGGCACAGGACAGAGCCGAGTTTAGGGCTGTTGTACACAGGATCACTATGAGTCACAAGCCATTCGACAGCACATAACAACAACAACAACAACATACAAATACAAGTTATTTAAACCAAACCTACTGTCATCGAGTCAATTATAATTGTGAAGATCTCTAGTGTTACAGACTGGAACTGTTCCACAAGGTCTTCTTGAATGTGATTTTATGCGTCCCTTTTATGTGATCGTGAGTCTATTCTATGACAGAAGAATTGATGTCTTTGAGTTGTGGTGCTGGAGAGGAGTACTGAACATACCATGGACTGCTAAGAGAACAAACAGGTCTGTTCTGAAGAGGTTATAACTAACTTGCTCTCTAGAAGCAAGGGTTTTTAAGCTTTGTCTCACATATTTTGGGCATGCTGCCAGGAAGGACCAGTCCTTGGAGAAGGGCATGATGCCTGAAAGGGAGGAAGGACAGCACAGAAGAGAAAGCCCCTGGATGAGATGGAGTGACACAGTGAATGGCATATTAGGGGCAAGTGTATCAGAAACAATGAGATTGGCTCAGGACAGGATGAGTTCATAGTTATTATGCATAAGGGTTAATATGAGTTATAGGCAATTCAATGGCACATAACAACAACAATAGTAACAACAACACCAACAGATAGGTCCATTGTGTCACCCAGGAACCATTCTTTATCCAAAAAAAATGGGAATAATATGGCTTCACAGGGATGGTGTGAGAATGAAGGAAATAGTGAAAATGAACACGGCTGACAATCTCGAGCTTGGCACCTCACAGATCCTTTTCTCTTTACCCTGGTTTTCCCATCATCAGTTCATCGGGCCAATGACAACTGTGAGCAGAGATGTGATAAGAGTTGTGGGGAGAACAGGGTCAGAAAGACATGACACCTAGGCCTGAAGCTGAATATTCTCTGGTGTTTAGTGAGTCAAAAATTTTTACACAGTTTCAAGCAACATGTCACAGGAAATGTGAAAGCTGTTTCTGACTAGCCGTAGTAGAGGCAGAGCGCCTCAGAGAAGAGGGAATCTCAGTCCTGGGGAGCTTCAGGTCCACCTGGTTTGCTTGTAGAAGAGAGGCCTGGAGATGAATCACAAATGTGTCCACTTTGCTCTTTTGCAACAGTTTCAATGGAAAATAAAACTTGGAAAAGAATTGAGTCTAAAATTTTTTTAATAAAATCGTTTCCTGCATGAAAGCAAATTATAGAAAATGGTAACTACTGATCATTTTTCAGAGTCAATTTTCAGATGTCTCTAGAAAGTCCTTTGTGAAAGAAATTGTATCAAACCTCAGATGCTTAACTCATAATCTTTATAAAGGAAACAAAAGCAGCGTTCTGTGGTTTCCCACCAGAAGTTCCTGACTGTTTTCCTCAGAGTTAGGAAACACTTCTGTCCTGTTGTTCCTTGTTTTCTTAATGATAACCACAATGAAATCTCATGGGCAAATTAATCCTGTATGGTAGCTTTTTCCCAGGGTTTTTGGGTAGAAAAACAGATCAAATTATTTGCCACTTGCAATTTCCCACTTACTCCCATGTGTATTATTGTATATCAACACTAGAGAAAAGTTGTGGAGATGTAGCTTCTTCAAATAAGACCGAGGGAGAGAGAGTGGAAGGTGGGGTGCGGATTGGGAACTTTTGAAAGAGCTTTTCAAAACGCATTTGCTAAAGCTCAGAAAAGTTACACTAAGCATATGTGGTTTCAAATAAACTATTTCTGAAACAGCCATGTAACTATGCAACAGGCCTTTTACCTTCAAGTTATATTTCTTTTCATTTTGGAGGTTCAAAAGGAGGGGGTGGCAAATTATGGCTTGAATATTAGTAGAAAAAGGTCCAACCAGAAAGTAAATCACGGTTCAGTTCCAACCAGAAAGCAGGTTTTCTAATTAATGGCTAAGCATGAAAGCAATATTGTTGAGAAGTTCACCCAAGGACACCACACAAGATGGAGTATCACTTTTCCCTAAAACTGATCTGCCTTTTAAGTTTGATATGTTATTGTCATTGGTTAAAGAGAGTGAATCAAATCTGTTTTCCCAAAGAGACTTTCTAAAATAACAGTCACAGAGCCTTACTACAGGGCCTTTGGGGTGTCTCCTTTGACTATGGCTAAATGAAAATACATTCTTTGGATTCACTGAGAGCATGCATTAGAATTCTTCAAAGGAGTTTTCAATCTCCATTAACATAAACAATTGGGGTGGGGGGAACACAGACAGGAAACAAGATAATAGGCTAGTAACTCTGAGATACTGCAATTAAAGGAATGGAAATTCCAGGAAATGATAATCAGGCTAGTCATTGGACAGCTGTTCTCTCCCTGACTTGTGAGTGGTCTCTTCCCTTGGGCAGGTTCTGTGACCTTCTTTGAACCAACAGAATGTAGCAGAAGTGACGCTATATGACTTTTAGGCTATGTCACAAGAAGCGTTGAACTCTTGCACTAAGATATCTTAGAATATTCATCTGGAGGAAGAGAGTTACTCTATAAGGAGTGATGAATCCCTGGATGGTGCAAATGGTTAATACACTAAGCTGCTAATTGAAAGCATGAAGTTCAAGTCCATGCAGAAAAACCTTGGAGGAAAGTTCTGTGGATCTATTTGCCTAAGAGGTCACCAGATTTGAATCACCTAAATGGTTTTTATGGAGAAAGATGGAAAAATCACACAATCTGTGTGATTTACAGCCTCTAAAAACATTCTGGAGGGTCAGCTCTGAGTTGTTATGACTCATTGACACATAACAATACCTACTGTGGGGATTTTGGTGGTTGTTTTAGTTTCTTTTAAATTGGTTTCATGGATTCCCTGAACAGCAAGGACCCAGAATGTGAAGCAAATTCTATCTCCAAAGATTCAACATGAATTACTAACACATATTAACATTCTTCACATTCTTACTTTGTGGAACAATGGTTTTCTCATTCTCCAGAGTTCAATGCATAAAAAAAAGGATAAGCAATCACTACCTTAAGGGTGTGGATACAATGAATAAGTTTATATCAGAAACAAACTATTGCTTTAAACAAAATTGCAATTTTTTGTAAGGTAGTGGATCTGACAGGCAATAGATGCTGCATCTTGCCAGCTGTGTGGGTTTGGCCAAATTAATAATTTCTGTGATTACCTACCTCATAAATTGGTATGAAGCTTAAACCAATTAAAATCAGTAGATTGCATAGATCACAGGCTGGCATGTAAGAAACACATAATGTATAATTAACACTGCAGGAGTGGCATCCACTTCCTAAACAATAAGCCTCTGGAAACTCTATGAATTTTGATAAGTGACAATAGTTATAGAAAGGCTTCAGACCTTTTATTGATAGGGTCACTATGAGTTGTGCTCGACTTGACGGCAATAAACAATAACAGCAACAGCTTCATTGTTACTATTTACTTTCCTAGGGAGCTCTAGTGCCATAGTGGTAAGGAAATGTATTGTCAACCCACAAGTTTGAGAATCAAATCCACTAGCTGCTCCATTGGAGAATGATCGACAATGAATTTTCACGTGATTTACTGCCTCTGAAAACTCTCTGGAGGGTCAGCTGCCAGTCTGCCCCAGTTTGATAGTGGTGGTTGTTGTTAGGTGTCAGCAAGTCCAGTATGGCTCATAGTGACTCTGTGAAGCCAAGCTGAACCTTGCCCCATCCTGTGCCATCATCATCTCTGACATACTAGAGCCCACTGCTGCAGTCACCATGTCCATGGAACTTGTTGAAGATCTTCCTCTTTCTCTGACCTACCATTTTCCCCAAGCATGATGTCCCTTTTCAAGGAATCACTTCACCTAGTTACATGTCCAAAGTATGAAAATTGGAGCTTTTTTGACTGGGGTGAGATGATATCTCATAGTTGTTTTAATTTGCATCTCTCTTAGGGCTAGGGATTTTGAGCATTTCTTCATGTGCTTGTT